TATTTGGATGTCCAGCTACGCTAACCGTAGCAGTTAGCACAGCGTAATGTAGTGGAATTCTGCCACGTCCACACTAGCGCTACGCGCGCAGGCCCTCAAATAGGGCCTGCGGGCCCGCTACGCTGTGCTAACATGCTGGTTGGCTGTGTAGTGGTGGTTAGCGGCCCGTAGCGCAGCGTAGCGTAAAGTCGCTAACTTTTTGCTAACACTACATGAATTTGGCGCGCAAAAAGGACCACTACGCTAACATGTTTTGGGCAAAAAGTGTAGCATAGCGTAGGAGCCCAGTGCTGTGTCTAGCTTGGAGTATGAAGTATGGAATTTGTTGAATATCCTTGTACCTAGTTCTCTATGCTTCTACTATAGTCATTTTCTGGTCATGTATTTAGTCTGCCTGATCTCTGATCCCTTAGCTCTCTCCTCACTGAATACAAACCACATTCTCCTTAGTGTCAGCTCCCCATGTCACAAGAATCCAGTCTGTAGAACTTCAGTCCCTGAAAACCCTGTGACAATCAACAGAATTTACATATGTAGATATGCATCTGCACCTCTGAGAAGGGCGGGTGTATGGAAAGTAATTTGTACAAGTACTTGCCTGTTTTTCAACCCAAAATCATGGCACCCACACCCACACGGAAACTTTAGGCAAGTAATTTTTGGAAGCCAACAAGTACTTGCAAACCAGTACTTGGTGTGATCTCTAATGTAGATGATGAAGTTCTTCTTACCAGAATTGATAAGGAAGAAAATATTATTTTGTTTTTTTTTATCTTGGTGCTATACTTTGAGTATTCTATCAAAAATAGGTAATGTAGAGCAAATTGAAAGACTTTTAGCTACATGATTATGTTTTAAAAACCCAGTGTGAGATCATGGTAGTCTACTAACAAAGAGATGAAATTACTGTGTTGAGATTTTGGGTTCTTTCCATTTTTTTACCCTTGTCTCCTTCTATTTCCTTCTAAAACCTCTCTGTCTTCCCTCTCTTAAAACCTCATAACTACTGGTACTTGTAGCAACAATGTAACTGATGTGATGCATGCATAGGTATCACATTGTATTGGGCCTTTATTGCATTGCTTTTTCAATGTGATACCAATACATGGCTATTTATCGCATTGCATTGCATCGTTTCACCGATAGTTGTAGTCCCATCTTATAAGGGCCTATTATCTTTCTCTTGAGTCTGATGATCTTGAATTCATTTTGGTGCTATTTTTCACAAACTTGTCCTGTTATTTATCATCATAACCACATCAAGTGTGCTTGGATTTAATCTATGAAAACTGGAAATTTACAAGGAATGTATCACAATCAGCTCTCCCCTTTAATATTGGACTCATTGCAGTAATAGCTTTGAATTAGTTTCTCTCCTCCACAATTCTCAGTAATCCAAAATCAAAATCTTAACAGGGGCAGCCAACAAACCTGATAATCAGCAACCTTACTATTCAATCACAGAGAGTGACTGAAAAAATGATTATACAAGTGTGCTACAAAACCTAGTAGAGCAAGAATTTAAGATATCACACACAAATTTCAGGAACCTCTAATTTTTACTGGTAGCGGCTTCTTCTGCTGAATCACAAGCTGTTTGTGTACATGAACTTTTTTTGCACACATGCACATGGGTGCCTCTTGCCAGCTGTCCAACAGAGGAGTTCATCATCACTGGACTTGCAAATTCCTCCTACAGTTGTTGAGTATATCCACTCAGCCTGACCTTTCACTTCCGCCTCGTGTAATTTCGCACTGCATCCTCGGCACGGATATCCCCTGATGAAACCGGTCGTGCCGATATATCGGTTCACTTCTGTTGGGATGACGGTCATCGGGATGCCGCCATTAATCGGATGCTGTCGGGGAGTTCGGGGGCTTGCGCTCGGGAGCAGGACTTACCGCAGCAGCCGCATGTCGACTGCGAGAGTCTCACTCAGTTAGGGTTCATTTGCTGGATTGGTATGGCCCTCGGGTCAAGCCAGCCGGACTGGCAGACCGTCACTGCCACCATCCTCAAGTCAGCGAAGGCCGACCCGTAAACCCACCTATCCACCATGGTAAGCTCATTCACCTTGGCTCAAACATTCATGCCAGCTTCCGCTCCCTGACCCACGTTGACTGACTGCTGGTCCGGCCGTCAACCCTCAACGCAAACTAATTAGGCCAAAGCAGTCGCTGCAGCCTCAAGCCACAAGGCCGCCAAGAAGAAAAAATGGTCAAAGGGAAAAGTCAAAGACAAAGCCAACAACCACGTCGTTTGTGACAAGCCGACTTACGACAAAATCTTCAAGGAAGTCCCCACCTACAAGATGATCTCCCAATCGGTTTTGATCGACCGAATGAAAATCAACGGAAGTCTCGCCCGTGTCGCCATTCAGCATCTCGAGCGTGAGGTGAGCACAAAAACACACCACCCGTCGAATCCTTGTTTAAACAGTCTCACTCATTAATTCATTCAAATTTAGGGTCTGATCAAGCGTATCGTCCACCACCGAGGGCAGCTCGTCTACAGTAAGTAACCCCTCACACTTATCTCCCATTATTCAGCCTATCTGATGCGTTCCTTTTACAGCCCGGGCCACCGCTGCTACTGAGTAGAGACATGTAACTTCCTCGCCTCTCATATGAACCTCTGAGCAATGTCCACATGTTATTCCTTTCTCCAGCCACGGCTATCGCTTCCTAGTTTTATGTCGTCGTGAAATTTCAAACCAGCCTGTCATAACATTCAATCTATCAGATGAATACAATCCTGAGTAAGAAAGCTCCGAATCCGTTGGCGCTGGCGAGCGCTTACGACCAGCAGTCAGTATACCACAATACCGAGCCGGCTTCGGGCTCTTTGTCCACGCAACAGTCGTACAACCTAGCTGTCGCATCGGGCATTCTTTGAATTGATAACTGAGAGTAGTGTTTTCAACTTGACTGCTCGGTTAATGTTAAAAATCCAAATGAAGCACTTAGTCACCATGAGTTTGGTGTGAGTACCTGAGATGATGCGTTGACTGCATCGGAGGTTACCCTGCCCCCTGGAGATAATTCTCTTCAAAAAGATCTTCATGTAACGTAATGTTGGAAAAGGGGGGAGAGTATCTAACCCACCCCAGGAGCCCTCGAGAATAATTTTTTTGGAGGCCACACTTCATCCCTAGTGAATACCGCAGGTAATTTAGCCTGACTCACCGCCCATATGCTGCAACCGAAACATCCCAAATACGGCAGGCGCTCTCCGCAGCGTGTTTGCTGAGGGGAGGATGGGAGCCTGGGAGGGGAGCCCGGCGAGGAGACCGGACAATCAAATAATATACGACATGTCTCCAGTCTTCTACATATTCTGCTTGCGTCTAGTGACAATCCAGTAGTGCCTTTGCATGAGGTCAATCCAGCTTCATCTCGGTTGCCGAGCTGATCAGTTGATTCTTAATTCTTCGGTGGTTTTTCCATTCCAAACGAACACGGAGGAGGCAGTTAATCTGAGGTCAGCACTTCCAGTGATCATGAGCATGGCCGGTCTCGAAATAGCCATGCGAGATAATCATCGCAACACATTTCTCTGCTATCTTAACGCAAGGCCCCACCTTAATTGACTCGGGAGATTCAAATTTATATGGCATCAACTGTAAAAATGGTTGAATCAATACTTTATAGAAATAATATTATAAAACTTAATAGAAGTAATAATCTTAACAAAAGATAATTATAAGTAAACATGATTAACATCTGATCTGAACAATAAAAAACTGAAGAAAGAAATACCTGATAAATTAGATCAGAATACAACAAAGTTAGAACACGAAACAAAACGACGTCGACTTCTTTAACACGAGGATTATCACAACGAAATAGCCTGAAAGAATAAGAAAAGAAACGGTTAATAACATGTAACAATCAAAGATAGCATAGCATAAAACACGCTACCTGCCCAGAAGCTAGATCTAGCTCCTCCTGAATGTTAGAAGTGGTCGGTCGATGAGTCGAGTGTTGAAACTTGATTGATCAGCGATCGAATGTAACCTCAGATGATTTTGATTGATGAAGATTGTGATTGTGGTGAGCAACTGTTGAAGAAGGGGAAGATGAAAGTTATCGGCGAAAGATGCAGTTGCTTGCAGAAGAAAAGAAAATGACGCAATCAATCTGAGTGTCATGATCATAGTCGAGAATGACACAATGCATAACTAATTATGCATAAAATGTGCGAGTTTGGATTTCACAACACTCCTCCTAAACACGCACATTTCCCAAATGTAATTGTTTGAAAGCACCCGCTAGTTTAATCTTGCCGAAAGGTTTAGTCAAAATATCCGCTATCATATCGAAGGTACTAGTTTGCTTAATACGTAAAACTTTTTGCATCATAAGTTGACGAATGTATTGAAAACGAATTTCAATATGTTTAGTGTTTGGGTTCAATTGAGGTTCTTCACTGATTATGACCGCACCAGAGTTGTCGTTGAAAATCGTTGGAATGTCTATTTCAATTTTGAGAGAAGTGATCAAATTAGACATCCACCTAAGCTGTTTAGCACATTTGTTGATAGCAATAAACTCGGCTTCGGTTGTGGATTGAGCCACGACTGATTGCTTCTTAGTTGTCCAAGAAATCGGATTCCCAAAAAAAGAAATGACGTAGCCGGACATCGATTGCTTAGATACTAGTGACGTGCCGTAATCCGCATCAGCCCAACCGACAAGAGCATCCGTTTTACAGCCTTGAGTGTACGTGATTCCGACGTTTTTCGAGCCTTGAAGATATCTCAGTAGATGTTTGACCAATGACCAATGAGCTTCGGTTGGAGAGTTAGTGAATTGAGCTAAAACATTTACTGTAAAAGCTATGTCTGGACGAGTGTGAAGCGCCAAATAATTCAACATTCCGATCGCTTTTTGCATTATTTTCTCATTGATAGAAGGCGAATCCAATGCAACAAGTCGATGAAAATTCAAGGGAGAAGGAGCTTTCACAGGATTTGAGTCATTCATACCGAACTCATCAAGTATTTTTGACGCAAAATCCGCTTGATGAATAAACAAAGATTTGTCCTCATTCCAGACTAAAGTGTAGCCAAGATGTTGCGTAGGTCGTTCCTTGATCTTGAGCGAATACGTTTTTTGAAGATTATTGAGGAACGCAAGAATCGCAGGACGTGATTTTCCAACGATTAAACCGTCGTCAACATGCATGTGCAGCAAAATAGAGTTATCCCAGTTATGAAAAAGTGCATCATCAAGGATAGAAGCAGTGAAACCGATCGAATTCAATGTTGAAACTAAGTGAGCTTTCCACATGCGCGGTGCCTGTTTCGTTCCGTAGAGAGATTTTTGAAGTTTCCACACCCACCCTTTCTTCTTTGGATCCGGATCTTCAAAACCAAGAACTTGAGAAACGTAAATTGATGAATTGATGTTACCGTAAAGAAATGCCGTTTCCACATCGAATTGAAACACATTCAGATCTTCATTTACCGCAAGAGAAAGCATCATCTTCAGAGATTCGTTTCTAGCAACAGACGAGTATGTTTCGAAGTAATGAAGCATATGTTCTTGATGATTTCCAAAGACAACCCAGCGAGCCTTGTGCCTTGAAACTTCTTTGAATTCATTCAGTTTGCGAGTCAACAACCACATACCACCAATAATTTTATCGTCAGACGGAGGAGGAGTCAAAATACCGGTGTTCTTTTCTTGCAGGGAGTGAAATTCAGAGGATAACGCATCATTCCATTCAGATTCATGTTCAATATCCGTCATAGCTTCATTGATGGATACCGATTGATTGAGATTTAATTCAGGAAATTCATCATTCATCACGATATTTAAATCAGGCAAACCAGGATTCATTCGTCGTGAGCCTTCAATAATGTTTGATGGGTCGATATTTGAGCTGATGTCTTTTGAAGCTTTCTGATTGGATTTACCCCAAGCGTACGTGTAATGTTTAGTCGCTGGAGGTAAAGTTGGTCGAGAAATAGGAGTTGAGATGTCTCGAGCAGTTGGAGTTGACATATCAATAGTAGGAGATGGTGGAATTGGGGGAAGAGAAGGGGGAGAAGACTCAATCGGAACTGGAGGCGTAACAAGAGGTGAAGTTAAGCTCGTATCGTGATTGATATGAGTAGATTTGTCCTCCGGAATGTGAACTGATACGTAGTCTTCTTTTGTTGAAATCTTTTCAGGTGCAAATGATGTGGGCAAAGTCGCAGATAACTTAATCATTGCTTTTGAAGAACCGTAAGGAAAAGATAATTTTGACGGAGTAAAGTCCCGACTGATAACGATTTTTCGAGAGATTGGATCGAAAAACCGCATAGCATCCGATTTGGGCTCATACCCAAGGAACAAGAGTGGTTTGGAAGGAGGAAGAATTTTCGAGGAAGGAGATTGATTATGAACATAAACTTTGAGACCGAAAGGTAGCAATGTTTGAACATGTCTTGATTGTTCAATTTTCAAATCGGAGTCGATGAGAATAGACATAGGCGATTTCCAATTGATAGACACCGAGGGCAACATATTAATCAAAGTCGAAGCGAATTTTGCTGCTTCATCCCAGTAGTTGAGCGGAACTGTGCATTGAGCAAGCATGCATTGAATCTTGACCAAAAGTGTCTGATTAAAGCGTTCGGCTAAACCATTGGTTTGAGGTGAGTTAGCTGGACCTTGTTCTAAAGAAATTCCTCGTTCAAGCAGAAAGTTTTTCAGAATATTCGAACCAAACTCACCACCTCGATCAGTGTGCAAGATGGCAGGGTAGATGTCAAGTTGATTCTTAATTTCATTGACGAAAGACATGATTCGAGATTCAGATTGATCCTTCTTTTGAAGCAGATATATTCGATTAAATCGAGAGAAATCATCGATTAACACCAGAATGTATTTGAAACTGCCGCGGGAAACCGGAGAGACCTGTAAAAGATCCATGTGAATCATTTTGAAGGGAGACGAGGCGGAAGGAAGGGGATTTGAATGAGAGGAACGCTTCAATTTTGCCATTCTACACACCTCACATTCAGCTGAAGAACCGGTTTCGGTATTTTTTGGTATCTTCATTAATTCGAAGAATTTTTTGACGTAAACATCAGATGGGTGACCGAGTATGATATGCCAATCTTTTAATGATTGTTTTTCACACATAGAAAAAAGAGAGTTGCCGGTAAAATGATGAGAGCTAGAAGAAACGTATAAATCGCCAGATCGAGGAAACTTTTCAATGATTGATGATCCCATGCAAACAGTGATCATTTTGTTCTTGTGGAAAATTCTGAAACTGTGATCTTCTAATTGAGAAACCGAAATGAGATTACATTTACCGGCAGGAGCCAAGTAAACAGGATAAATAAAATATTTTCCGAATTTCATCGATCCAATGTGAGTAATTTCAATTGAACCTGAGTACGTTCTCATTTTCTTTTCGATTGGTTTCATATCAGATAAAAGACGACGATCTGAAACAGTTGATTTTGATGCTCCGGTATCGAGAATCAAACGGACTTCAGGAGAATCGGTACCAATATGAAAGTTGTTGTCTTCATCAACAAAGAAACCTGAATTTTCGGGATTATGTTGATTTTCATCAATCGAACTAGGTTGATAGCCATCGATTGATTGATTTTGGTTGACATTTACTAAAGTATCGGAATCTGAAAAATCATTTGAATTGATGTCATCGGTAACGAAGAAACCCCAGTCATCTGAATCATTTCCTTCATCAATAGCCTCAACATGATCATTGTCATCGTCTTCGGAATTTTCAATTGCATTCAGATCTTGCATTTGAAGTTTCTTCAACGATTCGATTTGATCATGAATAAGTTTCTGGACTTCATTCTTCTTCACGTTCGATCCAGATGGAAGATTCGAACCGGATGGACGATTTCTAGTCGGAGCGACGTTTCTAAATCGTTGAGAAGGTGAAGACAAGGCCTTGAATTTTTCCTTGTTTGGTCGAATGAAA